CCCGGCTTCCCGGAAGGGGCGCGCGGCGGTCCTGCCCTCCACGTTCTCCTCGGGGCTTGTGGTGTACCTGGCCGCGCGGGCGGACACGACAGCTGTTTCTGGAGTGCTAAAGCGCTTTCTGCCCGTACGTGGTGCCCTAACTGTGAGCCGCAGTGCCAGCGCGCCGCTGGGAACGCTCAGGAAGGGCAGCTTCTGCGCGGCCTGTACGTTTTCGTGAATCATCTATCAATTTAAACGATTCCTGCATGGCCCCTCTGCCACGCCCACACCGCGGACAGCTGCGGAACTTCAGCAGGGTGTAGCGGCACATGCCTATAGTTACCTTTGGGAGGCTGAGGCAGGGAGGTAGCGTGAGTCCCGGAGTTCAAGACCAGCAAGGGCAGCATAGCAAGCCCTCCATCTCAAAACACAACAGCGATACCAGAGAGTTTTTGGAGTTTTATTACTCCCACTCGTGAGTCCAGCTCTGCCAGTGGTCAGTGGCCGCTGCACGTTATGTTAAGGAAAGCTGTGCACCAGCAACGAAGGCTGTGATCCTAGTAGGAGCCCAACCGCTACTAGTCATATGTCCCTGAAAGACGCAAGTGCCGATGTTTACCTTGTTCGTCTATAAAAAGAGAAGTTCCATTTTGTTCCGTGTCTAATAGTTAATTTAGACAAGAATCATAAATCCAGTTGGCAAAACTAACATGTACTTTATGTAGTTCCAAAGAGTCTCCCCGGTAATTACTAGCTTTTGCGCAAAACTTGGACCGAAACGACATCTACACTGTCTAAAGTTCTATGCGTTCTGCCCTGGCTGGCTCAGTTGGGGTGATCTATATCTTGGAGGGAGAGACTGCAAAGTCGTATCGCAAAGGGTGATGCATGCAGTAATGACAAGAACTTGAGGCCATTTTTATAATCTACCTGAAGTCTTAATCACAGAGCAAAAGCATTGCTGTGATGGATAAATCTAGCAGACATCACCTTACTCACAGGACCAAGGTTAAAGTCACCAGTAATGGGACCGAGTGACATCCACAGCTGTGTCACGTGATGTACTGAGAAATGCAAACACGATTTCCTTAGTGCTTCTGACAAGAACGTATAATGGAATGGAATCGTGAAGAAGCATGACAAATTAAAACTAGAAGAAGTTGGTTCAAGTGTCACTGTGATGGAAGTCAAAGAAAAGCGGAGGAACTGGTCTAGACTACAGGGGATTAGAAAGCCAGGACTGATAGCTGACATAGGTGTACTACTGATTTCTGTCGCTTTACTGAAAGGAACAGTTAGTGATTACTTATTTGATCAATCTTGTGTGTCTCTATTTGTTTTCCTGAGAAACCACCTTGAAGATATCAATACGTAATACAACAACCATTGTTAATTTCCTACCACTTTGTCTGTAACTCTGTATTGCTTGTATTGTTCTTATGCTATTTTGTAAATGGATGTCCGTTTGTTATTATGTTTTCCTGCTTTTATTTTTAAAATAAATTTTGAAAAAAGACAGGATTACTAAACATAATGTATAATTTAGAGTTAGTACAGGATTGGAATCTTAAAAATCTATGAAGGACGCTTTTGGGGGAAACTGGCAAATTAGACATAAAATCCATAATATTGTCCTATGTTTTAATAAGTGTTTTTATTTATGGTAAAATACAATGAATATTGTATCAATATTGTGTTCTAACATTAATAAATTTAGTACAACCATGTGAGAAAGCCTTTGATCTTAAGAAATATGTCATGAAATAAATGGCTTGGAATTAAAGAGGGCAAAACAGCTAAGCCTGCTGGCACAGACCTGTAATCTCGCCACTCTGCTAGTCTGGCAAACGGAGCTCAAGTCTGAGCCCAGCTGGAGCAAATTAGTGAGACCCTGTCTCAATAATAAAGATAAAAATAGGCTGGGGTGTAGTTGAGTGTGAAGGTCCAGAAATAAATCCCCAGTACCTCCTAAAAAAGAAGAATAAATTGTAATTTATTCACAGATGGTCCAGAAATATCTAGAGAGAAAATGGGGACACAAATTTGAGAAATTTTATTGTGAGTACATTTGTATGAAGAATGTTAATTCTTTGTAGTAATTTTACAATGTAATTCTTTACATTTGAAGTTACTTTTTAAAAACGGGGACTTTGTGTATCTCTCAGGAAGATTAAATGTCAAAATTAATATGAATATGAATAGGTGTGGAAAGTAATATGCTGTTGTACTATACTTCTTAAAAAGAAGTATAAAATTTTATCTTTAATCAAAGTGAAGCTATTGCAGTTATTTGTTTAGTTGATTAGAATAATCGATATTACACAATGAACTGGCCATAAGTATACAATAACTTAGGTGAACTATATACCAACAACAAAAATATGAGTTTAAAACTACAGTTGCCCATTCTGTGGTTAACCAAGGTCCTAATTCAATGGGAAATAAAGGACAAGATAGATCTATGTAGCTGAAATTAAAATTGGCAGGTTTTGGCAAAATATTAAGAATTAAGGAGGGGACAAAAGTGTTACCTCACTTAAGAATGTTAAGATTGGCTGCATCAGAGCTGATATCAGAGATATCATTGGCTGATATCAGAGATATCAAAAAGAATTTGGAAGCAGGAATTTTGTATTCCCAGTGAAAATCTAAAAATAATTCTAATAATGTGGTCACTCATCTAGTGAATATCCATGAAGTGCTTACAACATGGCAGCTATTTGCTAGGCACAAGAAATACTACAGTGATCAAAAGTATGAGGACTCTGATCTTGTCAACACATTTCAATCGTGTGTACTAAGTGAACAACTATGTGCTTATGTTAGCTGGTAGTAAATTCTAGAAGATAATTGAGGCAGGTTAAGGCTGAACTTTCCGACTATTGTATCACAAACTATTTACAGATATGCCACGATGTATGCATCAGAAGTGGCCCAGTAGGGCGGTGTCAGGTTGCTAGTGCCCATAGTCAGGGAGCCTCTGGTTGTGAGAGGCTTGTTAAGGGCTCCGAGGAGAATCAGAGTTTGCACTTCAAAGTGTAGCGCTTTGGAGGAGTGGGAGTGGCGAGACTGGGTAAAGGCCTCTAGCAATCTGACAATCTGAAGCTCTACCAGCATAAATATCAGATAATTCGTGTGGCACTAATTTGTCCCCATGCTGGTAGCCACATCAGCTGCAGGCTAGCTGTTCTAGTAACACGTGAAGATTCTTAAATCAAGCTTTATCTCCATTTTGAATTTCCTGATGAAAATTTTAAATCCTATACAATTCATGTTACTTTAGTACATTTTTCTATTAATCGATGTGAAAACTATTACCTTTTAACCAATTTCAAAATTGATACAGAAGTACCTCTGTTCTCAAACTTAATTCTTTCCATGATTCTGGTCACAAACCGAATTGGATGAGAACCAAATCAAATTCCCCATAAATTCAACATTGAACCTAACTGTTGAATCTGATATGGTTCCTGTCCAATTCAACTGATGACCAGAATTGTGGAAGGAATTAAGTGTTTGAACCAAGGTACCACTGTCTACTCGAATCTATTGTATTTATCTGATGTGACGTAAAGTTCTGCATCCCTTTCATGGTAGCACATTTTTATTTTTCCATAACCATGTGAATGGAGTATATTGTCTCAGTTACACAGTAGAATATGTAAA